CTGGCATTAACTTAATAAATGGCGTTGAGAGGCGTTTTATAAACATATTTTACTCATATTTCATCCCTAGCTGTTCATAGAACGACCCCAATGGCGTAGTGGATAGAAAACTTTTCCCTTGCATCAAACGGTGTGGGTTCGATCCCCTCTACTGTAAAGACATTGGGTGATGAACGTAATATTTTTCAAGTGTCTGGGAGACATGTTTGTGAGTCCCTAGCTATATTTAGCTTACTTTAGGCCATCTGCTTGTGGAATGAACTTCCTCAGCAAATTCGCCGTTCGAAGACGCTAGACAAGGTTAAAAATGACGTAAAACAACATTGTCTATCGCTTTGTAATCCTTAGTTTTTAATGGCAATATTCGGATTTAATTCTTCTCTCGTGTATTTATTTATGTTATTCATATATATTATATATCTATTTGTGTATGTTTATGTATGTTTATTAGAATTTTTTTATTTTATTATATTTAAGTCTATTTTGGTATTAAGTAAGTTTATTGAGCACACCACCTCCCACTATTCATTAGTTTATTTTTCCTCGTCCTAAGGTTGTCTGGAAGAGATCGCTTTTGAGCGATAAGACCGCCTTATTGTATCTAGCTTTTAAGACTTTTTTATACTAATTGTATCAAATTCTTTGTGGTGTACAATAAAGTATATAATAATAATAATTATCCCAATAGTCGTATCTGCGAATGGGTTGATCCCAGCCAGCCTCTCCGGACATCTGAGGCGACTGGGCCTGTCTCCCCTGCCGAGGGCTTCCGTCTCGGTCCTATTCCTCGTCTGGGTCCTATTTATATATGTATTATATACAATATTTATATCTATATGTTTATTTTTATTCATATTTATTTTATATATGCAATATATATCTATTTGTTTATTTTTTATCTATAAACCCAACCAGACGAGAAAACAAAGAAATGTCCCCAAAATAATAATAATAATATTTAAGCATTACTTAGTTTGGATCCAGATAACGTTGCGTAAAAGTAGTCCTGAAAATATTTCCCTATATACTTCATATTTTTTTGTCTATTCTACCGTTGTTTGGCTGGAAACACGTGCTTCTGATTTCGTGATCCCTTAATTTGAACTAAGACTTGCATCTCCGCGTTCAAACAATACGTTCAGAAATAAATAATAAAGGTAAGTTTAAGTTTTCAAATTAAGAGCGGAATAGCCTGGAAAAGTGAATAAATACCGACATAGAATTATGTCGACTTAACTACTTATAAGATGTTAAACATGGTTTAATTATCAGTTGATTTATATCGATTTTCCAACTTACTGAACCGGTTTTCATCAAAACCGCATCGGCCGCCGTATTGCCTACGCCATTTTACAGCTAATTAACATACAGTGAAACGTTATTACAATTAAGTTTATGAAGGAAATTGTCAATGACGCCAAATTAACCTCAATATCATAGATTGGTTGCGGAACCCGAAGCACTTACGGTGTCACTTTGAGGAACGGAAATTCCTTTGAAACAGTCGTTATTACCCATAAAATAACAGCGCTTGCGAAGGACTGTAAATAGTGAAAAGTGTAACGAATATATCGAAAACTAGTCAATTTAATAAAATATTGTATTAAACTCCAATGAAAATATAGATTAATATAGAACCATAAGTCTAAACTTAAACGGTGTATACTGAATTTGATTTAATCAATGTAACATACCTTAAGTAATTGTTTTATGAATCTTTAATTTTTTTAACAGAATTTTAGGTAAACAAGCAGTTGGTTTATCCAATGATGAGTGTTTAACGCCGATATCATCGATACTGTTAAAGCACATATGTTTACGGTATTATACGTTAGACGTACAATATAATAAGCCTTAATTATCAGCTATGTTCAAATAAAAACCTATTTACTTTTAGTTTTTTTTTAGATTGATGGCTCCGTGGCGCAGTTGTCAAGGTATTGGCTTCGGCGTCGGGGGTCGTGAGTTCGATCCCCACACGGGACAACTATTTGTGTGACCCACAATATAGTTGTTTCGTATCTGGGTGTTTTTCCGCGTGAAATTTATGTTTGTAAAACGTCCTTACAACACAGGATAATGTTATCCTAAAGTAAGGGCAATGTTTAAAGAAAAAAAAAATAATTATAAGACCATCAATCAATAATTATATAATAATTATAAGATTGTGATAACACGTTGTTAATCTAGCTAATGTCGTATTGTGGGATCTTTTTATGTAAAATACTAGAATACTAGAATTATGTAACTGAAAAAATTTTAACACTAATTTTTTTGTACAAACTGTAATTTTAACACTTCGGTTTTAGCGTCATTATTAAGCAGGAGCGATTTTAGCCTTCTGTGTACTGTTTCGGTTTCGTATATAAAGTTGAAAGGGATAGGTTAACATAATTTCGGTTTTAAGGTCCATGAATTTAAAACTCTCTTTATGAACCCAAAGATCGCGTCCAAGTACCCACACAACATTTGTTTAACTCCTAAAGCAATCTATTTACGTTTGCACACAAATATCGAGAGGAAATGAATTTTGAAGTAAAGTGTACTCTTCGATTGCGATCTAAAAGCATCAAAATGTCTAATACAGTGAACACGGGGCTGGGAATCGATAAATTATTCATCCTCATCAATTAACTACAACTTTATATTTTCAAACTCGATCACATTCCTTTTCATTTGATCACGTAATGAATAAAATATTACGTCGGGGCACCAAACGCTCGCCGTGTCTCAGCGGTCCGAATTTATTCATACGACACGACCACGACACGGCATTGACTATTAATTTAGTCTGTGAACTTATTTTATGACACGAATACTCCACAGTATTTACATTATATGTTCAATTAAAAAAAAAAGTTGCGATTTCGTACATTGTATAAATTTCAGGTATGTTCTCGAGATAATAGGGCCTCGGGGTAATGAAAATACGATGATTTACAACACTTACATCTAGCAGACATTCAAGTATCTAAAAGATATGCAGTCAAGGCTCTTCTGTCTGGATTTCATAAATAAATTATTATTTGTGAAATCCATAGAAGCGACAATTTAATAACCTTCATTGCCACTCAAGTAGCTAAAATAAGAACTCTTAGTTTCTAAGGAAAATTGTTATTCTTGACAGTACCATAATATGAAGGACAAAGGTTTTAACGAACCTAGTGTTAAACGGTTGAGTCGATATTAATTCTTATTTAATAATAATAATAATAAAGTTATATTTAATAACTATTTTATCGATTCCGTACAAGCGTTTGTTACAAGTTTTCGTCTAGACATCGTTTTCATTAATTAAACTAAAAACTGCAAAAACAACTCCCCCAATCTTATTTTCTACCACAGCGAACGCTCGTTTTTTTTTTTCTTTATCCAAGGTGTTCACCAATTTTTCTCATGCGCGACGTACATCCAACATTTTTCTAGCATATTTATCACTCCACCACCTGTCACTCCACTTCGCGCTAACTCTCCGCTTGGAAGACTTCCAAGGCGCCGCCTCTCTGCCTCAGCCTGGAAACTAGGTGGGCGTTGTATTTATTTGCTTACGGTTTATTTCATTGTTTTGTTCCCGTAAGTTATTACAGTGATTGCTTGTCACGCGAATTTGTCCCAAATTAATAGTGACACGTTCTCCGAAGTCACTGATAGACTACTTGATGTCAAAAAATTGAAATCTTCGTCGCATTTCTATTTCTGATATCCTAAAACAAAATATATATATTTCGAAAATATGTGAAGTCCGCCAATCCGCAGTGGGGCCGCGTGGTGGACTATGCCCTGATACCCTCTGTGTAGAGGAGGACTTTGCCCAGCAGTGGGACATGTATAGGCTGTTACTTTATTTTTTACTTATTTGCCCTGTAATGAATGAGAAGTATAAAGAGGAGCTTAAACAAAGAATATTACAGGGAGCTTAGGTATAATATAGCCTGAAAGCTTACTATATAATAAAAATATATTTAAATGCGAATATAAGATATGCACTGTGTATATATTTATTTTCCAAATTTCTAAGTAATAATTAGGCAATGCCTAAGTGTTCTACTAATTTGGTACTAAGCACAATGTCACCTGATCCTATTGTACCCTAAACTGATATTAAAAACTGCATACGATTTCATTCTTGTATTAAAAAAATAAAATATCTTGTTGAAAGTTAAAACGATCAAAGCATGTTCTATTATCTATTATGCAATAAGATTGCTTCAAAAGCGTATTAGTTGGTCTCACGTATCAACCAACATTTTTAATGTCTTGATCGAGAATGCTCTCTACTACTTTTGAACCTAACTTAAATGCTATTTTACTGTAACTTCCGGCTCTATTTAATACACTCAGCATTAATATAAATATTAATGTAATAATTCTGTGCGGAAAAAAAGAAGTATTACTCTAAAATTTGTTGCATACCTTAAGAAGTAGATAGTAGTAGTATTTACTACTAATTTTGCTTTAAAAAAATTCGTTGATTAAAGGAAAGTATATAAACATCAAGAAGCAGCAACGGCAAATAGAGTTAAGTTTGAAAATAATCAACTAGAGTGCAGCAACGGCGGGAAACACAGATTTTTTACCGAACAGCTTAAGAAGAAAGGAATAAGTGTTAATCGTATAGGTCCAGTTCACCTCGATGCGAGTACGTTGTTGGACAACAGTTTGTTCCAAAGCTGCTTACAAAGGCTTTAACTCGGCTGCCTCTACTTCGCGGTCATCAAATTTAAATCAATTTCGGAAGTAGTGTGAGTAAAAACATGAAACTCTTTATTACACTAAGCTCTTATAGTGAAGATTTTGGTAAACTATCCAAGTGCAAATATAGAGTTTGTTTATTTTCTTTTATAATGACGTATAATGAGCAAAAAATATTTTGTTCTAATATAAAAACTTAAACGTAATTGACTAGGGCAAGCGAATCCGCTGCTCGCACAGAAAATATAAAATATTCTATAGTGTAGTTTATAGCGAAACGTTTAATAATTTGTACGCATTAACCGCTAATGGAGGGCGGCTTTCCTAATGGTGAGTGCTTAGCGTTTAAGATTCCACACTGCTCTACGGCTTAGTGTCACCTGTGACCAGGGCACGTGGCTCGCATTATTGCAATGCATCAGGAGCCCCTGATGACCCATCCAACGCATACGTGAACATTACGTAGCCGAATATAATAGGTGTGTCCCAACTGAATCATAACACTGTTATTGAAAAATGCTAAAAAAAAGACAAATAAACCAATGAAGATAAAATACGTGAGATTTTCGTTGGTGTGGCAATCAGCCGTTCAGCTTAGCGGCTAAAGCGCCAGGTCGCGAATCCCAAAGACGTGGGTTAGATTTCCACAGCGGCAGAAATTTTTCGCACTTTTTCCTACAAATTTAAACTTCTTTTTTTATTTAATAAAAATGTCAACTAGAAACAATGATAGAATAATCACTGTAATTATGTAAAGCTTGAGGTATCAAGACCTTTCCAACAAGAGTCCCAGGTAAGAAAAAAAACAGTTATTTTTTCTTTCCTCAGGAACTCATGACCTATGAGTAACATTTGTCGACATTAACTCCATCAATGAATCTTTTCATAGAATATTGATATATTGAAAAGTATTAATTTTCATGCAGGCCCTATATTAATATCAGAAGTGCGAGCTCTTCTCAAGCGGAAACCGTCTCCATTATTCGCTGAGCAATTCGCGTGGGAATACACCATAAGATATTGCCTAATTTGTTGTTTGAAGATGTTTTTCGTTTTGAAATTAAATTTTAAACATTAAATAAGAGACATGATGACAAAAAATTTCAAACAACGCATTCTTTTTATCATTATACCGTAATCCAACGTGGTGGATGAAATTAGTGTCACAATATGGGACCGAAACGTTCAATAAAATAACAAAATTTCCTCTCATATACCATGTTCGTAGATCGTTATGCAATATATCGTATCTTGCACATTTTCAGTTTGGTACAAAATGACCTGTAAGTAGTATTAATTACGACTTGTATTTTAGAATAGTGTATGAAAAAATTATTTGATACAAAGCGCATTCTCAAGACTTGAAAACAATGGAACCTTAAAAGCCGACAAAAACATGTTTACAATGGAGCGTCCGTGAGCAACGTGTTCGTAAATAATAGACCACAAAAAAAAAAACAATCGCCGCGAGATTCGGCAAACGACGTGACAGCGTGAGTAATGCGTTATCACGTCATTCCGTCGCCTCTCGGTAGGTCGGTCAGAACTGGCGCGGGTCGTGAGTGAGAGGGGGGGGGGGGGGTCAAAAAAAAAAGAAGAAGTGATGATTTATTTAAAGTCCGCGCAGACGGATCCCTTATCTGCCACCTCGCGTTATCTCATTGCGTGTTTCCTAAACTAATTAATGCAATATAGGGCATCGATTGTGAGGTGACGGGGGACGCGGGGCGGCGCTCGGGGTGCGGGGGTGCGCGCGGCGCACGCACCCCATTGGCTGTGCGGCCTGCGTGAGTGCGTACTCCCCCTGCCGCGTGCGTGCCTTCGCGCGTTCGCCAGTCACACTCCGACCGCCGCGACAGACGGACGTGCTTCCCTCGGCGTCAACTGAAGTACGCGCGCCCGCTTTCCCCGTAACAGTTGTATTTCACGCGTATTGGGACTAAACTATCTGTCCATATGGTTCATCTCGTAGATATTTTTCGTTCGGCGAAAGTTGAATACCCGCCGCCGATTATTGTAAGTAGATCAGTTTGTTGTTTTATATTTCTTGAATAAAAAAAGCGACGCGTGTTTATATTTTTGTTTTCAAACTTATACTTTTTTCACTTTTATTTTATGATTTTTTTTTTTCTTTGTTTACAGAGAGTTCCAGCTGTTTTATTGAGTTTGTTATTATGTAAAAGGGAAGAAAATTTGTGGCAAACATAGTATAGTAAAGAAAATAAAGTTTGAAGCGATATAAAACTAGAAAGTTTTATAGAACTATGTAAGCCAATTTAAAATAATAGGCGCTTTGTATTTTATCTATTCTTAAATTATATTATTAAATTCTTAAAACTTTATAATTTATGTTTGAATCCTAGTTACAGTTTTCGATGATGTTAACAAACATTTGACTGTTGAAAAAGCACAAAATCTATCTAAAACAAATATTTTTTCAAATAAATCTTTCCAAAACTTTAAATAATGTTTTTCTTTTACTTTGTATCCTAACAATTTGATTATTTTCATGTAATCTTATTATTGAAAATAAATTTAAACTTTAAGATAAGAAGTAATCTGACTGCAGCTTGAAAACTGTACCGTTTTATATTGAGAGTAATCGCTACATTTAATGCTTTGTTAAACAAAATAATTAATGGCATAATGATAACAGTATGTTATCTGATTTGTTGATAGGAGCGATTTGCTAATTTAAGATTATAATTAAATAAAAAAGTTATGAAATATAAAGAGAACCAAATTTTTGTAAATCAGCATAAAATAGTTAAGTTCAAGTGTAGTTTAAAATATTGAAAATTTGTTTTCGCTTGCAAAGACTAATAAAAAAAACATGGCCCCGCTGAGTTTCTTCACTGGTTCTTCTCGGGTCAAGGCTTTTGTATTCCGGACCGGTAGTGGTACTTTGATAATTAAGAATTAAGTGTAATGCTTTCATTGAATCAAAAAATCGAATATGAATTTATATTTATATTTACTTTTAAATTAAATTGTTAAATATTTTTTGCTTTTAAATAAAAATATTGTATAAATCAAAGGTGTACTATTCAAATTAAATATTGAGTGCGTTGAATTTTTTGCGTCAATAAAGGTTTGTCATTAAATAATATGACACGAGAGCATGCTATTAAAATAATATCCATCCGAATACATAAACCTCGCCCCGAACAATACAATGTAAGGAAGAAGTGTAATAATAACACTCAGAACGATTTCCATCGGGCTCGTAACCGATAACTTAAAACTTAACGATATCGCAAAGCGTTTCGGTTTGGTAACGGCCAATATTGTGATATGGCAACGCGTTACGGAATCCAGTCAGTCGGTCAGTCGTAAGCACGACATAAAAAGTTTTTATCATGCCACCAGTTACCCCGTAGGGGGGCCTGTGCGAGAAATTCCTTCCACGCCCCATTACTCTGTACAGTTGGGACGAGTAGTCCATTTTTTATAAGTTTCGGGTTAAGAGTCGGCTGCCGATGATATTAGGCGGATCTACTTTTAGTTTATCTCGATACAGATGAGAAAAGAAAACTTGTATCGTTCACGATGAGAACTAAAGTTTCAGAAGCCTAACACTTGATTAAAATATACCGTTTTCTTTCCGTTACAGGTGAAAAAAAAATGCCAATGTCTTCTTTTGCACCGGTTGAATAGTGTACAGAGTGCATAAATTTTATTCCATAAAATAAATGTTACAAGTTTACAAGTTGTCAATATTTTAAATGAATAAATTGTAAACAGTAATGGTTTCAATCCACCACGGTTCTTTATATTTCGAGCGTTTTCTCAACATTCCTTCTTAACTTCTCCAGAAAGGTTTTTTTTTCACTTTCGTATTCATAAAACTCGACTGTCGCGTCGACTCGTACTTTTTTATATTCATAATCAGACCACGGTTTCCAGTCTAGCGGCAAAGTCGCCCTTTGTCTTAAATTCTTTTAGTTCACAAAACCCGACGGGTCCCGTAGCCCGGAGCCAGTTATTTTATCAAATTACGAACTTAATAAATTCTGTTTTGATTCAGGATTCGCCACAGATTCGTAATTTATGATCGGTTTTACTTTCCAACAAAAGCTAATAATTTGTTTCGGAAATTTCTCGTTCGGAACCGCAACGACCTGTGAACTTTATTAATTTAACATTACGTGTTAATTTTGCGTGTTTGACTTTCGGTCGAAGTACGGTTACAATATCTTGTGTGCACAGTAAATTGAGCGACGATGTACTTTTTTTGTTTCAGCAATCGTGTTCGTCACAAAAAATTCTAAATGACTTCGTCATTAGCTTCAAAATAAATTGATTGCGAATCTAGTACTAGTAAATTCAAAATAACGCTGTATAATTTAAAGAGAAGTACTAAAAGTCATTTTTAAAATATAGGAAAATGTCTAAAATTTTTTCTACTTTGAATAAAATAAATATTTACTGGTTGTTATCTCTTTTTTTAAGTCTCTGTGTTCTTTGAGCGATCTGAGAGGTAAAGGCTTCCTCTGTACAGAAGTTATTAGGGAATTGGTTCTCCACTGCGGATTGGCGGACTTTATATATTTTAATTTTAATTTTATTTGATAAGTTGTCAAACGAGCAGACGGTTCACCTGATGTTAAGTGAATACCGCCGCTCATGGACATCTGCCACATCCGAGGGTTACAGATGCGTTGACAACCTTTTGAAAATTGGGCTCCAGCTACCTCACTCACCAGACGAAACGCGAAAGTATTTGTCATACTTCCACTTTACGCTGGTCTTCTGTGAGGTCGTGGTACTTAGACGGACGGGCCTGCCCATTCGTGCAACAGCCGAGTCTGCTGCGTGACACTACCACCGTAATCTTCGAATATGCAGGCTTACTTGTGACCTTTCCTTCACCACGATATGAACTCTTGAGTATATTAAATTAAAAGCGAGCGGACACTGCACTATCACGGCTACCGCATCACAATTGTTCAACTGTTATTATTTTGTCATATAGTTAGTAAATTTTGCAAGTTTACCAACAATACCCAATTCATTACGTGCATTTGCACGCTTCCTTCTCTAAATAATCGACCCCTTCCCGTCGTCCGCTTTTATTTCCTCGTCCATTAGCCATGGCGTATTTCCGATATGGTCTATAAAAGCGGACCTATAATTACTGGTGCGCCCGCAACAATAATTCTTTCGGACATGTTGATGCCTCCGTTCCTAAGCAACGTGTCACCCTGACAGCGAACTGTCATCCCCACAGCGGACAACCCTGGCCACGTGGGCTGTTTATCTAAGTCGAGTTGACAGCTGTTGTAGCGGCCATGTTGTTTCACGCTCCGTCCTACTTTCATAAATAATGTTTGGCTGTCAACAGTGCAAACAGTGTGCTCTGTGACGACTGCGTCAAGAAGTCAATAGCTTAGTAACTGTACTAAGCTATTAACTTCGGTGCCAGTGGTCGTGGATTCAATTACCACACGAGTACTTGAGGGAACCACATATAATTATTCTGGACTTGTGTATGGAAGCAGGCAGACAGCCAGCCGTTAAAATCTATTCAGTAACATTATTTTCACACGTTTGTTTTTCCGTAATGTCCGAAGTTTCTGGTGGATTGATAAATTGTAGACTTGCTCTTCATTTTCTCCGGTTTTTCATATTAGCGAACCTTGAAAGCTGCCTGAGTCATTAATCACCAGCCAATTGAGCTGATATGAAGGGTTAACCTTTCCTAGCTCTACCAACTCTATTACAATTAAGCAACAAGTATTTTGTCATGTAAGTTATATTTCGCTGTCGCTTACGCCATTAATAATGTTCGTAATATTAGATCGTTGAATATTTCAATGTGTGTGGACTTGCTGGCTTGCGTCGATATGCGAAATACCCAAATCGATTCTCCCGTGATTTAGTACGTGCTCGGCGATAATAAGAGATTATAACATGTGAATATAGAATAATACAGCGTGTACCTCTATCACCACAGTTGGTTATCTAACCTTGTATGTGCTCTGCTTACTAGTTGCGTTTTAGAACCTCAATAGCGTGCACCAATAACTTATCGTTGTTGAATCACAGAGCTTGTTGAAATCTTCAATGTTTGAAGGTTTAGATAGTTTCACAATTAGTAAGTTATATAATGTATATCTTTTCAAAAATGATATGACCGCAGAGTCTCTCGCCGGTTCTTCTCTGGCAGGTCTAGTTTAGTGAACCGTTGGTAGTTTTTGACGTTCGATAAGAGCTTAAAACAAGCCTATGTTGAATAAAGAAATATTTACTTTACCTTTGACTTTGACTTTTGATCATCATCATCTTCCTGTCCTTATCCGATCGGTGCAACATGTGAATCATGTTGTAAGCGGACCTGACGTCAACCCTCCTTGGGAAACATGCATCCAGATCCGGAACAATTATCTGTGGGTCACACATACACTTGCACCGTATGGGGATCGAACCTACGACCCACGACGCCGAAGCAATAGGCTTAGCAACGGCGCCACTGAGTCATCATGTATTTCTTTTGACATCCCAGAAAAGGGAGAGCTTTCATACTTTCCATCGTTACCGTCTTATCAGAACACCATCGCCAAAAATAACGGCGGTGTTCCGTCGAAAAAGGGCCAGCACACGAAGGTCCACCCCAAAGCGCTCGTTACCGGGGCATTATTGTAGTGCTTTAGTAATAGCGATAAATTATTCCGCCACCATCAGATGGGCATCTACGCAAGTTGGTAATTGGTGCGCGTGTCGCGGTAGCGTCTCTACATAATCAACGTTGGCACGTATTCGTTTGTTTTTCTTATGGCAAAAACGTGGGAACATCGAATGTGGGAATATTTAACAGTGTACTAGCTGCTACCCGCGGCTTTGCTAAATCGTTAAAGGGAATTAACAATGAGTCGTTTTATCATAGATGACACATTCCTGTTACAACCTGCATTTAATATATGAGTATGGATATCGATTA